CATCCCAAGCGAGTTCTTAACCATCGCGCCACTCGGCCGGCCCTCAACCGGCTTTTCTCTTTTCTTGCAACACCATCTGGGCAATATCATGAATTCATGAATTTTCAATCCTGGGACTCCAGGCAGGAAACTTCCCAGGCTGACATATTTGGTGAGTTCCTGAAAATGTGAGCCTACAGCTATTATTTATATGTGATAGTATATCCTCCCACAGGTGTTCATTCAATTTGCAAAGACTTTCCCACAGATGGCTGCAGAACATCCCAAATACTTTTAAAAATGCAGGTCCACAATCACTTATCCACAATTCTAGATTTTTTTGGGGGGGGAGGGGGGTATTCTGAAAACTTGTACTTTTTGGTAAATTATATGAACAGATATGAGACTATGTAATAGTGTTCTTCCCACTTAGTGTAAACATTCACAAGTTTCACTGTAGGAAACTTAATGGGTTTGAGTGCTTTCCTCAGCCTCCAATGGGGATACTACCGAACTTATAGGACATGCCCACATTACTTTTCTGAAAATACAAGAAATTCTGAAGTCTGACCTGAATGGGCTGTAGTTCAAGAATTGTGATCTAATATTAATATTCACTTTGGAAACCAATTTGCCCTGGTCAATGTATAATCTATGATCATTTGATCCATAAACAAGCTCTCTGGGAATGTAATTAAATAGACATATAAGCCATCCTGTTTTTAATATTCAAATAAAGACAAAAAACATGGCTATATACTTCCAGGTATTTCCATTTCTTTGGCGACTGCATGGAATAATTGGTGGCTGCATGGAACTTTAATACTTGTATCTTTAGTATCAATTCCTCATGAATTTATTAGTATTTTATGGAGTTAGCAATCCTAAATTTAAATACCATAAGGAGGTTACTGTTTTACAACATATGACATTACTGCAATCAACAAACATTTCTAACCTCTTTGGAAACAAATAAACAAACAAAAACCCCATGCCATTCAAACATCATATCTACAGGTAGAATTATTATTATTATTTTTTTTTAAAGATTTTTTTATTGGGGAATTGGGGGGATGGGAACAGTGCTGGGGAATTGGGGGAAGGAGAACAGACAGGTTGCTGTCGTTTTGTTCTTCAGTCTAGTTGTGGAGGACTTTGCTTCACTGGCCCATGTTGGCACCATCATTGCGCTCTTCCCAGGTGAGGCACATCAGTCGCCAGCCTGCTGGCCGCTCACGCTGGCTGCTGGCCACACACGGTAGCCCATGGCAACCCACTG